TTGGCACGTTGGCCACACTCTATATCCCCAATTAATTTATTTCACTTCCAACCATCTTTATAGATTATCAACAATAAGATATTTCCAAATCAAGACTTTAGGTACACATATGAGCAATTAAGAGTCTTAAGAATATTGAGATTTTCTCACATAATTTGGCATCATAACCTTCATTTGGGACGAGATTCAAAGACATGGCATTTTAATACACATAGCATTCTTGAACATATTCCTAAAGGATAACATAACGTGATAGGAATATTCAGAACAAGTTTTGACTACACAATTCTCATCACTTTGCTTATTCGAGACAATCAAATTTATTGGGANTCATACTTTGAAACTTACGAAAATATTATGGAATTCAATTCCAAGAGAGAAAGTTTAGCCAACATACCTTGCTTTGAGCTTTCCTTAAATTACTATAATGTTCCGAAAATTCTAGCAATTCCAATTTATTTTGAGACATAACAAAATTGAACCATTATTAGGAAGATATTCATGATCTCAGCTCATTTGAGCATTTTATCAAACACTAGGTGTGTAAATCTAACTACAAGGTTCTTCTACAAGATTTCCTTCACTTCACAACCCAATATTTACTTATTTTTGCTAAACAATCTTCCCACAAACCTTATTAGTACAAGCATGTATAAACAATGCTCTTATACCCAAGAATCATACTCCAAATCAACCATCGTTTACCCAAATTCGAAATTGGAAACTAGGGTATGAAACCTTACCTCTGAGATGAAGATCTTGTGATTAGCTTCCTTGATGCTTGAAGATTAGTGCAAGATTGGATGATTATAATGTTAGGTTCCCTCCTTCTCTCTCTAAAATGCTCTTATCTCTCTCTAAAACTCTCAGAAAAACACCCCAAAATAAGCCCCAAAGCCTATTTATCAAAATGGGGTCGAGTTATGAAAAGAGAAAAATTAACCCTCCGAATTCAACTATGCGGTCTCACAATGGACTGTACAATTGGTGTGCGGGTCGCACAATGGTCGCAAAATTCGGTGCCCAGATTTGGGCTGTTCTGGTCCATTCTGCGACCAGTTTGTGGTCGCATAACCACTTTGCGATCGCATAATGGTCGCTGAATTGCATTCTCGCAACCTTTGGTAATTTGGTCATAACTTCTTGTAGGAATGTCCAAATGATGAACAGTTTGAAGCGTTGGAAACTAAACTCAAAGGGCTATAATTCTATAGGCAATACATCATATACCCCTTCCTATCAAGAGAGGTATGATTATTTGAAGTTAGGTCTTGTGCAAACTCACTTGAAACTTTATTCCATCATAAATATTTCAACTTGACTCAGCCATGGGACTCTTCTTAGACCGTAAACTATTCTGAATGCACATCATACATATATTATCATGATCAATTGATATTATTCATATAATAGTCCCTGTCTACACATAAAATAATATAATTAGCGCACATCGACTTTCTTAATAGCGCTTAAGTACTTCGAAATTTTTCGGGGTGTTATAGTGGTGAACATTACTGAGTTGTATATGCAAGAAAGGGCTGCAAGGGAGGAAGAGGCGAGGCGGAGGGAGGAAGAAGATAGGCGAAGAGAGGAAGAGGAAAGACGAAGGGAGGAAGAAATGAGGCGAAAGGACGAGATATTAAGACTTGTCACTAGTGATGTTGAAAGTCTCAAGTCTCAGATAAACTCCCTCTTAGCATCTGGTACATTTCCTGTGCTCCGTTCTCTAGCATCTGATGATAACTAAGGAGTAGTTTCTTTTATTAGCTTGTCTTGGATTGTACCTGGATGTTGAATGTTGGATTTTTTGAGTTTTTGTTCTACTTTCTGATTAGTTGGATATTGATTATGATATGGATTGATTAGTTGTTATTTATGAAATGAATTGGATTGCATATTGAATTAGGTATTTGAATGCTTAATTGTATTTAGTCTTGTATTGTTGGTTGTACTTTCTGTTTGGCAGGTGGTGTAGTTCTAAAAATATATTTGGCCATGAAAATATTTTCCAGATTTCCCACGGATTTCCCACCGACTTCGTAAAAATTTTGTGCATATTTTTTTCTAGAATTTCAGCATTTCCCATTGATATTCGTGGGAATGTTCATGTGTTTATTTCCAGGTTATGAATATTTTCCACTACTTTGGTGGGTAAAAAAAAGGTATCTAAATTATTTTTAATAATTCTCACGGATTAGGTGGGAAACTTAAAAAAATTAAATTATTATATTTTCTTACTTTTCCTATGACGTTCGTGGGAAATTACACTAGTGACCCCACCAAGTTCTCGTCAAACCTTTAGTGGGGATCTCCCTGGGAATTACCCACGAATGTCCTGGGAAATTATTTTTCCACCAGCCATTTTCCCACTGAGCGTCTCCCCTAGGAATGTCGTGGGAATATTGAATTTTCACACAGATTTCCCACCGATTCTTCCGAGGAAAAAATCTGTATTTCTAGTAGTGAGAAGTAAATTTGGGCAAAGGAGTTTGTTCTTCGCAAATGCGAGGGGAAGTTCGCGATCGCGAAGTTCTGCAGGTGTTGAATCGTGATCGCGTGGTGTCTGGTCGTGATCGCATGGAGTCTTCTGGGTGTGCTTCGCGATCGCAGGGGAAGTGTCGCAAATACGAAGAACATTTCACTAGCAGGAGTATTTTAAGTCTTAATCGCAAATATGAAGGGTGTTTCACTAGCAGGGGTATTTTAAGTCTTAATTCTGAGATTTAGCTTATTTTCACCATTTTTGAGTTTTGGAGAAGGGGAGGAGAAGATTTTGAAGAGAAACTTTAACCTAATCTTGAGAGTAAATAATTACTACTTAATTTTGATCATTTATCTTGATTTTTCATGGATTTCTACACCAAATTAAGAAATTATAAAGTAAAATTTGGGGGTTTTGTCTATAACTTAAGTGAGTTATTTTGAGGTTTTGGACTCGAATTTGAATACTAATCACATATTTAAACTCATGAGGTTATGGGTCAACAGGTTCTAGTCCTAGACTCGGGTTTTGGCCATGTGAACCCGGACTGACTTTTGTTAGCTTTTTGAGATTTGAATAAAGATTGAAACTTTATTAGATGGAGTTAGTTTCTATGACTTTATTTAACCTCATTAAGTATTATTTGGCTAGATTCGGAGCATTTAGAGGTCACGAATAGAGTTAAAGGCGTGAATGAAGGCTAAAGCTTGTTCTGAAAGAGGTAAGTATCTTTTCTAATCTTAATTTGAGGGAAACCACCTTAGGATACGACCTTTCTTGCTAATTGTTATGTGTTGGGAAAACATATATGCGACGTGACGAGCGTGTATGCGAGTGCCATGGTTTATTCATGTTCAGAGTAGATTTTAGCTTTCTTTATGCCTTGTTTGGTTGTATGTTCTTCTAAACTTATTCTTTGTTTATTTGTATGACTACGTGAGTCTATTTATTCATGCTAGATATCATATTTAGGCTTATAACCTCCTTATTTGGAATGATGACATATTCTTGAGATATTGGTATACTTGATTCAATCATAGTAATATTTGATGATATGAGCACGCATGCACATCTTATTTATTTTGTCCATGTACACCTTATTAGTTATTATATGAGCATATAGATTCATGTTTGGTGGTGAAGAACTTACTTCAGATTGTTATGATTATGGCACATTCGGACATTTTGAGTGGATTGATATTGATGTGGCACGAGGTTTCTATCGTGCGGTTATGATGATATTGATAATGTTATGGCACGAAGTTTTTATTGTGCAGCGTGTGAATACGGATTCATCCCCCTAGGGTCGCCCTACCATGTTTCTCTCTTGATGATGTACACACGGTGTTTGTGAGACACTGATGAGTGCCAGGTTATGATGGTATTAGTTGATGAGTTAGACATGAAGGTAGAAGCTTTGACCATTCAGGTGAATCCTTTATGCCATATATCATGCATATTATAAGCCTTTGGTACTTATCTTTTGACATGATACTTGATGCCTATGTTACATGCTTAGGACTTGATAGTCAAGATAGAACGATTCATGTTAAACTGCTATATCATGATGCATTTTCTATGATACTATATCTCTTTTCATTGCTTTGCTATGTATAAGCATGAAATGTACATGTATATTTGTTAGTGATTATCATATGACTTGAACCTCATCACTACTTCACTGACGTAAAGTCTTGATACTTGTTCGGTACACGATATTTTTGTACTCTACTATACTTATGTATCTTTTATATAGATTCTGGCATTGGTTCGAGTGGACCTCAGGATGGTGCCTAGTAGCTGACATATGAGACTCGAGATAGTGTTGCTTGATCGTCCGCAGACCCTTGAAGTCACCTTCTTCTATTATCATATTGTCATTTCATGTTTCAGATAGTATTTTGCACTTCTGTATTATGACTCAGTTGTATTTTTATCTTAGTATCTCATAACTTCGTACTACCGGGTTTTGGAAGTTATTGTGGCATTTTTTCCTTTTTTGATGTTATTGTGAGGCTTTATTATACTTTATCTATATCATAATAGTGATTTATCCAATATTTAACTATGTTTTAGTTCTTTAAGATTGTTGACGTACCGAGCGGAGCGGATTCGGTTCGGGGATATCTCAGTCCTAGTAGAATTTTGGATCATCATCATACCGAAAGATGCTTTATACCAAACACTAGTGGGAAATCGCCCGTGCTAAGCACGGGCCCAATAGCGCAACTGTTTTCAATAGTATCCAATACATAGTTATGAAAATTATTTTTTCTCCTACTGCATCAAATTTGTAGGAGCCTAAATGGTCCAGGGAAAATGATATGTTCCTTTGTCTAGCTTGGTATCTTATACCAATAACAGAGTGAGATAATAATAGGACTTAATTATTCTTAGAGGTGTTTCTTCCATTGCAAGAAGGACAAACCTTACAATACGCAGATCACTACTTTTATAGTAGATAGACTACATTTACGAAGTACAGTAAATGTTTTCAAGCAAGCTCACATTGGAAATGTACATATAATGTCATGTACCAATTGATATATGTGGTTAGTTAATAAAGCATATAGCTTTTGGTAGGTTTGCCTGTTTTACAAACGTAACTTTTGTATACATTTTTATTTTACAATAGAAGAATGATTTTTCAATTCTTTGTGTGGCATAACGCATTCAACATCAAAAAGGTTTAAATGCCTTATGGATTCTTTGTCAGCTTTCACACAGGTAACAGGTGGTACAAATAGAAAGTCCTCTCCTCTGCCAATTATCTTGGTCAAGACATGATGCCTCGACAACATTTCACACAAAGCAGGGCATTTTGCTATGTTGTTTTTGTCCTCCGTGTCATCTTCTAAGGTCACTTGTTGTCCCAGCTACTATATAGATTTTGGAGAAGATTGTAGCAACTTTGGACACCTATACAACACCTATATCATAATCAGAGTTACTGGTGTGTAAACTCGATTAATTTTTCACTTTGTTGAATAATTGTATTAAAGATTTATTTGTCTGCAATCACCTTTGAGGTTGTTGTACAGAGCAAGATTGAGGTTGTGACCAAAATGCATGGGTAAATCAGCATTGAGTCATTGACAGGCAGGCATCTAGATGGTTGGAAGAGGGCGCACCTAATTGATTACATAAAATAAAATATTTCAAATTTAGTAATACAAAACAATAATAAGTAACAATCAAAATAAATAATATATTTAAAGTAGCAATAGGATAAAATACAATAGGTAACAATCATCCAAACAGGTTATGATGAAATACCTGTAAAATATCGGTAACTTGTTGTTTTGAAGCTGTTAAACTTTTATAATTTCTATGTAAAATGTACACTGTATACGGAAAAAAAACTAACGTATATAAATATATACTAAGTCAGCATCACCTCAAGTGCAACAGAACTTTATTATCAATAATTGCACTTGATAAATGATCAGGTGAAGCACTCTTGAGCTCTTTGATCTCCATTAAAGTGAAGTTCCAAGTATTTCTACCTACTACTCTGAACTACGTTTCTGTACATGTAGCTTCTAAGAACATCAATGTAAGCTTCATTTTACATTTTATCACCCCGGAATCACTTGCATTTTTTCCATTTAATATGATAATATTGGAAAGTGACCATTTGTAAAAGCAATAGAAGCATTCATCATCACTTTGGTTATGGTGTGGATGGCATTACCTTGACAAGGTAGATACACAACGTGTAGAAACAGAGGGAAATATAAACTCTATAAACAGGACTTTGTACAAAAATGATCTGCTTGTTACTTGCCAATTTTATTTGAATGACCAGTTCCAGAAAGAAGAATCGAAGCGCAAAAAGTAGGTGGAAACTTTCAAAACTCATATACTATTAATTAAAGCAGCTTGATGTAACATGAGAGCACATTTCTGAAAGGATACAGTACAACCACTTAGATATCATCAGGCCAATGCCGACCATGAAAAATCTTACCTTCATGTACATTTATTCTTCACCCTTGCGATGCGGAGATTGGTTACCCTTTGGGTATTGTTGGCCGTCATTTTCTTCTTTCACAGTGTCGAACTCATAGTTGAATTTCTACAATTGAGTATTAGTTGAAATAACGGTATTCTAGAAAGTATATGTTATGATCAAATGGAAAAAATATATATATGGAAACTATTAACCAGTAAAGGAAATATTAACAAATCATTTGTTTGTTAACGATGTAATAGTCTGTGTCAGCACTTGTAAGTATGGCTCCCCTAAGAAGCCGTTCCATAATTTCTGAAATCAAAATGAAAGAAAGAGGGAGCCGTAGAACTACTCAAGATTGACACTAACAAAATAGGCTTTATTCATCTTTGTTTTGTTTTAATGGCGTTTTTGGGCCAAAACTTTAGGAACTGGATTATTTGATCAATGGTCTCCTCTATGAAGCATATGTTTAGCATGCTTTTTATTTGGTTAAAGAGGTCCTTCCATTACCTTCAGCCAAGACTTTCAACAATGATAGCATATTAGGTAAACTGACCATTAAGTTGTGAGACAAACAGGCACTTTAGAGTTTTACCACTGAGATGTCGGAGAAATGAGAGAGATCAGTCACTTCAATTTTGTGAAGGTGGTATGAGTTGATCCAGTCCTTTAGCCTACCAAATTGTTGCTCATCTTCAGCTGGATCCTGAATATCATCTGAAAAACTAAATAGCACATTAGAGGTATTCGGTACGTGGTGCAGTAGGACGTTGGCAGTATTTTTTATGAAAGTAAACAGTACCTTCATCATCCATATTACCATTAACCTGAGAATCTTGCTTCTCTGTGAAGAGATTATTTGGTATTTAAACTTATGTGATTCAGAAGTATTTAGGTAAGGAAATGTATAAATAAATTAGTCAAGTGTAGACATATGTATTACCGATTAGCGCAACTATGCCTTGGTCATCATCATAGTGACTGAACTAAAATATATCATCATTTCACAGACTTAAGTCTGCGCAAACAAATTTAAGAACATACTAAATGCAGTCAAGTTTTATATATGATTGAGATTTGAAGATATAATGTTTCTACCTCACTATCAGAATCACAGTCATCACCTGGAAGAAATCAGCTCCCAAGCCCAAACTATTATCTTGATTGTTGTCATTCCTATCCTTACAGGGATCAAGCACGCTCTTAAGCTGTGCAGAAACCAAATAATGTGAATTCATGAGCAATGAGAAGTATAGTTGTAGATTTCTTCAATTTATAAATGTTATTTTTTAATAAAGTAAAAAGAGAAAAAGAAGTCATATAAAATAAATCAGAGAGTAATAATTAATCAGTGTACATTTATTCCATACTCAAGAAAATAACATAGTGGAGTCATATTCCCAACTACAGAAATACAACAAATTCGCAAACTCCTCTCTGTCGTTCTACAATATCGTCCTTCCTGAAATAACTGCCGCATACCTTCAGAGCTAATACAAAATACCTGCTACTAATATTGTCAGCCTCCATTTTCAAAGGACTTTTACTCCATGGATTAACAGCCTCCTCTTCAGTGCAGTTTCTAAAGAAAGCAGGCTCATAATCAACAGAGGCTGCAGAACCAACCATTCTGTTACCAACCTTCATTTGACACAAACAAGAATTAAAATCTATCAGCCGCAAAATCCTTACCATGTCCAAGACATGAAAGAAAAAACAGCATAAAAGATTTGATACTGATGACGATTTTTCAAATGCCAAAAGGTTCAAGCACGAATATGGTGGAGAAAAAGCCTCTAAATCCCAATTTTCATCAGACGTTACAGCTGCAAGATACGACGCAAAAAGCAAAGTGAAAACAATCTTATCTTTTCAACAGAACCATAAAAATAAGCAATTGGGCTGTACCTTTTTCTAAAGAAATAACAAAAAATTAAACCATTTCTGAAGCTAAAAATAGGCTCTCTTGCCTCCAACACCAAAGTCAGCAAATTATTGGTTTGGCAGTGGTAGAGCCACGTTAAAGCATCAATAGCTAAAAAAGGATAATACAAAGTCCTAACAAATTAATTAACTGTTATCTCCTTCCAATTACGTAAAAGCAGAATCGTGGTCTTTATTATCAAAGCAGCTATCGAAAATAGGAAGCATATCAATATAAGGCAGTAATGGTAAGTTGATGCCCAGAAAGCGAAAAAATTTAAGTCTTTAGAAAGCAAAGATGAAAAGCGAAATTTATAGAGCATTGGTATGCTGAATATTAGTCTCAAGAACTTTTAAAGAATCTTGGTAAGAACTTATTCCAAGCTGATAATTAATCATTTCCATCCCCCTCTTCTTTTTTCTTCTCTTTGGGTTTATGTATATTCGGAAAGTTGGTTATCTTTATCACTACTTTTGTCAAGAAAACTGCTATATAAATGACAAAAGGAAATATGTCTTTTTTCTACACAAAAACTGATTAACGTGTGTATATATAATAACTTCTGAAAAAGATAAAAATTAAACACTAATCTATGAACAGAGAGGTAATTTATTTGTTGTAATGATATACTGCTCCATTTGAGATGTTATTAAATTGATTAACATAGGTTACAATCCAAAGAGAATAGAACATGATGCACTATATAATACTGGTCAACAGAGAACAGTAAAACGAACTTGCTTCTTCAACAAACATGTCACCTTTAAATATAGTTTCTATATGCAAAATGACAATTCAAAATAATTATACAGCAAAATAAGAATCACCTTTCTATACAAAGAAAAATGAAACTCTTGCTTCTTCAAGCTGAGCCATTTGCATCTGATCGGTTTGAGTGTTAAGACTTGATTTTGCGACTTCGATAAATGATGCACATCACGCGAGTATTTTGGAGAATAAATTTATATTATGCACTATATATTTAAGGTAATAACTTATAGTTACATTCAAAAACCAAACAAAACAGCATAAATAAATCTTGGCAAGCAAGCTCATTGATCCAAGCAACCTGATTAGAAGCAATTCGAAAGCAGTGAATATATGAGGGAAAAAACATTGTTGTACAGCCTATTTGACAAATTTATGTATAGCAACAAATTATCTTTTATCATCAGATGTAGAAGTTGACAAAATACACTTAACTGTGTGCATCAACCTTATTCTGGGAATTTCGAAGTGCATGTGCCATAAACAAGGTGGATGTTCCTGTGCTAAAAATGTATGTTCAACTCTGTTTAATTCAGCAAACGCTACAAAATAACATGTTAAGGATTCACAAGAAAGCCTTTTGAATGATTTCATCATAAACTATGTTGTATGTAGAATAATCGTCATCACTATCTGGGTTTGGGGGTCGAATTAATAACTTGACACAATTGGAAGCTTTTGCTCTCGACAATGCAACATAAAGCTGACCATGTGAAAACACTGGTTCTCGTAAATATATTCCAACAAAATCTAATATTTGACCGTGTGCTTTATTTATAGTCATAGCAAAACAGAGTCTTACTGGAAACTGTGTTCTTTTAAATTGTACAGGTAATTTTTCATCTTGTGATGACATCAATGGTATTCTCGGAATGAACACGTGTATTTTTAAAGTCACCGCTTGCAATTTTTGCACTTATAACATGAGTTTTAAAATCACAACATGTCAATCTTGTGCCATTGCATAAACCTTCGCAAGGATTCAAATTTCGTAGTAATATAATTGGACAATTTTCTTTCAAAGTCAATCTTTAAGGAGGTAAACCGGCAGGATTTAAAGAATGCAAAAAACCTTCATACTGACTTTGATCATTCGATTCACATGTTTCATCAATTGCAACAAATGTTTTACCTTCTTTTGGAAATTTGCCTATAAGCATATCATTTATTTCATTCACAAAATCATTTTTCGTCGTCAAAATAACACGAGAAGTCACAGAAGATGCATCACAGAAGAAATCATGCATATTAGGAAATGTTGTTTCAAATAACACATTCAAAGATTCCTCTTCAGTAGTATAAGGAACAATAAATGAATTTGAAATTTTAATTTTGTTTTCAGAAGTAAGAGGTTCTTTTCCGTTTCCTTTTCTCATCAAATATTCACAATAGGCAGGATCAGTTTTTGCACGCATGTTTTCTGATAGTAGCAATTTTTCAAGTCGGGGCCAAATCTCAGAATATAATAAACTTTCATGAATAAAATCTTCCTTTTTTCCGTTTCGAACCACTGGTAGAGTTTGTCTAAAATCACCACCAAAGACAACAACTTTACCACCAAAAAGCACATTAGTATTCAAAAGATCTTTCAAAAGTAAATCAAAAGTTTCAATCATTTTCTTTTTTGCCATCGATACTTCATCCCATACAATTAATTTTGTATCTCGAATCAAACAGGCAAGCGAACTTTGTTTGCTAATATTGCAACTAAAGTTTTCATCAATGTCAATGGGAATTTTAAAACGCGAATGAGTTGTACGGCCACCTGGAAGAATCGAGGCCGCAACTCCAGAGGTTGCTGTTGCTAGAGCAATAAATCCTTTAGATCGTACGGTAGCTAATAAGGCACGATATAAAAATGTTTTTACCTGTTCCTCCTGGACCTCAACAAAAAAAGCTCCTGCTCTGTTCAAAGATATTCTGTCTATAATCACATTGTATGATATTTGTTGTTCATGGTTCAACTTTTGTCGCAATAATAGCTCTTCTTCAGTAACGGTTATGTTTCTTTCAAAGAATATTTCTTTGGCTTCTTTGGCAGCCTTTGAAGCGTTGAAATTTTCAGGGATAAGTTTATACTCATTAATGTTATGTCCCATTGAATGTAAAATGTCATTGAGACAGTCTAAAACTTTATATCGAATACTTTTTGTTTCAATGTCTGGTAAAGTTTTGAAGTCTTCAGACATAGAGTCCTCGAATTTCTCCCATAATTCTCTTGGATTAGCAGGATCACAATATACTAATAATGTAGCAAACAAGCGTCTCAAGCTGCATGGCATTTGATAACTCTCGGCTTCTACCATACATTCAGCTAAATTATTGTCACAATGAAGTAATCCTCTCTTTGAGCAGATTCTCTAAATGTATTGCAACATACTTCATTTACAGTTAGTAGGTCTTCATAGGATTTTGGTCCTCTTATATTCATTAATAATAATCTCAGATAATATCTTTCACCTTCCGTCGGATGACATGTTACAACACGTCCAATGACATTACCCTTTATTCGACGGGTTCACATTTTATACTGTACTGACCATACAAAATATTGTGGAAATTCTTTGTACAGTAGATTGAGCTTTATTGCATCTTTATTTGTTTTGTTCATAGTAAAAAATTATGTTAACAGTGTTTTTCTAATCAGAGGATTATTCATAATTGAGTTTATACTTGACGCACTCCTAAAAGAAACAAATTGTTGTCCTTCAAGATGTAACTGAAGATGATAAACAACTGGTGTCATTTCATTAATAGGGAAACCAAATAAACGCCATGTAGCTTCAGGTGGTGATACCCATCGAGCAGATTGGTATTCTTTTATTTCATCTACTTCAACATTTGCATCATTATCATGTATGTGAAATGCGATTTTATCATGTCCTTTGCAGATGTATTTATAAATATATTTAACATCTTTAAAATCTGAACAAATTTCAACATTTATATGACAGTTGAATTTCCCAAGTAAGAATGGATTATAAGGAACAACCCATGAGTTATCAAAATAGTGATCTTTGACTTTCACAAGTCCCGTGTTTCACCTTTTATAAATTGGGTAAGAATTTTTTCCTTTTGAAGTTTGATCAGCAAAGCTTCTTGGATATTTGAATTTGCAACAACCTTTTTTCTTTTGCATACATGAATTTGTAGGATTTAACTTGCCACAAGGTCCATGTATCATATGTTGGAGAACAAGTTTATATAGGGTTTCTTCAGTGTTAGAATCACACGATCAATATTATCATAAGATTCTGGAGTAAGTAGTTTGTATTCATTAGTAAGTATAATAAGGAAATGAGCATGCGGTAAACCACGCTTTTGGAATTCTATAGTATACATAAAAGCTGCAACTTTTCCAAAGACATTTCTTTTTAATATATCTGTTTTTAGTTCTTCTATCTTTGCTCTAAAAACTCGACTAATTAAATCAGGCCTGTTTTGTGCTTCGTCAGTTAATAGCAAGTGCTCTTTTACCTCAGGCTAAGATGGATTACAAGTCATCGTTATGAACAGATCAGGTTTTCCAAATTGTTGTACTAAAGAAATAGCATCCATGTAACGCCGACGCATGTCCCTTGGTCCTCCTATAAAGCTAACAGGAAGGAATGTTTGCTTTCCTATATTTGAAGCGTCTCTTTCTCCAAGTCTTAAAACATCAATGAGTCCTTGTAGCATTTCGATTCTAAAGAGATCTGGGTTGAATGAAAAGAAGTCCAATCTTTGTGTTTCAAGTTTTGTGTTCAGCTACTGAATATTGCTGAAATAATCTTCCAGAATACAAAGGTTCATTTGTTTCATCTTCTCTCATTTGGAACTTATAACAGTAATATTCACGAATAGAAATATTATCTCTTTTTCTTTTTCCTTTTTCAAGATTTTGAGCTTCCATGTGAAGGTATCCATCAACAGAACACATATTTCTAATACTTGGTAATTCTTCATGTTCACAATAGGCTCGACGTTTAGAAGTAACCTTTGGTTGTATAATTTTTTTAATGCCACAATGCCATCCACTTTGACCATATGGAAATAATAATGGATATTGTAAAGGGTCATAACATCCGTAATACTAGTTCACTACTTGAGATCTGTTGCTATGAGTGTAGATTCGGATATGAGGTGCAAAACTGAGCTCAGTGATTTCTTTTTCAACCCATATTCCTGCAACTTCTGATGTAGTAGGAAGATTGTATACACGTTGATCTAAGCCTGAATCAGATTTAAGTGCAATATTGTAGTTCGATAGATTTGGAACATCTATTAGGGATTTTAAGAAAATAGAGTATGGATTAATTCTCAGAATATTCATTAGTTTTTTGACTATTGATTCATGAATTTTTTCTGAGCAAGCCATTCTGTTAGCCAATTCGTTATCGTTGTCGTAGAAGTATAGTTGTAGATTTCTTGCTATTCCACTCGAGGGGACTAAATCATTTATAAAATGGTACATCTTCCCTTGAACTCTAAATGTATAAATACCACGATTTCTTTTTGCTAATTCTCTGTCATAATTTACAACAAGTGATGTAAATGCAAACATATTATTGTATGTTCTAATATATGTTCGAAAATGTTTACATTCTTCGGTAGTTCCTAAATATAAATGTTGCAGTTCAGCAGGCATTTCATGTGAAACTAACTTGATCGAACCATTGTTACAGCAGAATCCAGGTGGTTCATATTCAATTTTTTTTGCACCACAAAATTTACAGTTAGGAACAGTCTTCAAGGCAACATAATCAGATTGTAATTGACCTACGTATGGACAACCCTTTTTTTGTGAGTTATAACCTGTATATTTAGGTATTATTAGTATAATATTTGCAATTAGGTAATATACAACACTATCATAATAAAAAATTGGTGCAAACCTTTTTTTCCAATCATTCTCGAGCTCATACTATTGTTTTCATTAGATGCACGTGACGTTGAGCCTAACGCCAAAAAGTAATAAATTAGCAATAAATAAAGATGTTATGTATTGTAGAGATAAAAGTCAATGTTGGATCCTTGATACTTGCCTACTTCAAAGGAGTAGAAGGGATTAGTTCTATTATTTTGCTTGTCAAATGTAATTGGCGAAGCATCAACGTGAGGCTCGTTGGCTAATAGGCAAAACAACACACATATAGCATCATTTAATTATGCTCACATGGAAAGAGCGTGATGAGACACATCTACAAAGAGTAAAATAACAAAGGATGTGTTCTAACCTGTTGTTGAAACAGAAGAAGAGCTCCTCACAGGAACATTCTGTTGCTGAAACTCAGTTGCAGCTTCAGTAGCGGCATGAGAAGCAACATTGCCAGAAAAACTACTCGTTTTTGACTCGTCTTTTTGTTCGTCGTTGTAGTAACAATGCCTCCTTTTTTTCTGCAGATACTAGTCTATACGTTTCATGTCGCCTAAGTTTCATCTCAACTTCAGATTTTGCCGAGCAAGCATGTTTGTTCTTTTGTTCAGAAGTCATTAGTCCTACAAAAGCACACATGGAATAAGCAAAAATACCTTGCTGCAAAGGTGCCAGCACGAGCGAATAATGTCAGATTAATAAAAGAACTAACAAGGCTCAAATACCTTTGCCTTTTTTCATTTCTAAGTAATACGTAGAAGAAGAATCGTACCAGATGGTCAAAAATACAACTTTTTGTTCTTAAAATATGTATTAACCTAATGTTTTCTCAAAAACACAAAACAAATATGTATTCCTTACTTCTGAATAGAGGACTGAAACCAAATGATATGCTTCAGGTATTTTCCAGTGAAATACATAATGGACAAAATTGTATTAACTCTATGATTCACAAAACTTCCTAGGATGAGTAAAAACAACTTCACATGAAACATTTTTCTGAAGAAAGTAATTTGATATGAAACAACAAGAAAATATATGCATATCGTAGAGAAGCAAAAATGCAAGTATGTGCTGCAATGTACTTCAACTTCCATTCAATTCAACAACACAATTTAGAAGTATAGGAGTCTCTGATGATTGGTTACAACTCAGTCACAAATGCAGAATGTAAAAAATGGAAATCTTTCCTCACATATGCGTATAACATGTTAAATCAGGAAATATCTAAGTAACTCTGCTAAGATTAAGATTATTTGAAACAGAATATAAATACATGCATTGCATCCTGGCATAACTAATTGCAACTTTTCTTTTTGAGTCAGCTATTGCATCTATGTATCGCCATTTGCAAAGTGCTAAAGCCAAAGTTAATTTGTTTTACCCAAGGTAAAGGCAATTAGGTAGAGCCTATCATTCGGATGCTAAAATCGTCTAATTTATAAATTCAAAGTAAGAATAGTTAAAAATAACAATACGTGTATCTAAAAAGTGATAAATTTTGTCAAAGTTTGAACTCTTTGCAATTCCCTTTCTTCTTCACAGTTTGAACTCTCATCTCTCTGGTCAATTACTCTACTTTTTTGTGGTTCTATTTCTTTTTCACTTTTTAATGTGGAATTTATCTGTTTCCTCGCTAACTTCTCTTTTATTCTTTTCGATCCAGCGCATGTCGATGTTGTTTAACGGATTTCGGCCTTTTCCATTCATCATCCCTCAATGGTCATCTCTTTACTACTAATTCTCAAATAAGATACCCCTATTTTGCCTATGGATATTCTAAAAAATCTGTGCTACTCTGGCTCAGAGAAATAAAATCTATGAAGAGGACTTAAAAGTCACATAAAAAATCCAAAACAAACGAATTAATAAAAACAGAGAACAAATTAGAACCCTACCTCAGTTAAAAGATTGAATATCAAACGAAAACCCCAAAGATCTGCTCTTTTTGCTGAAGAAGAAAAAGTAGTGCATAAAGTGAAACCACTAAATCTGGAGAAGAAGAAACAGAAGCAGAGCAAAGCAAAGCAGCGGAGATAAAATTGAGATGTAACAAAATTGCAAGCGGTGCTTTCTACGTGGCAAACTAGGGTGAACTGTCAGCAGCACATGAAATGTCAAAAATGCCCCTATGATGAAGCAGACAACAGACCATGACATGCCTGCTTATCCTCTCTTATATAATAGTAATGATGTTATAGGGAAATATAAGTGAACATGAACGGAAAGACAATTCATTTCAGAGGATATATTCTCTTTGTAAGCATGATCTTAGAGATTCTTTCCTTCCTTTCTTTTGTTCTCCCTTTTTCTTTTTCTTAATATTTAACTTATTTTACTCCCTATTTGATATATTTTGATTTAGTCATCATTTAAAATTCAATGGAGAAGCTCCAATAATTATCTGTCTTGCACATTTCTAGCTAGGAAGTCCTGAAGTGTAATTGGAAAAAAAATTCCTAAAAAGATTTTTTCAATTATTTGGCTTAAGCATGTAGGGTAATCTTCAATAATTAAGTGAGGAAAAATAGCCAAAAGTAAGTGAACTAATAAAAAGATATTGGGAAGCTACAGTGGAGACTAAATTGTATTTATTTGTTCTTGGTGATTAATAAGACTTTTTTCTTCACCAAAAAAAGAAGAAGTTATAGTGCTTCCCCACAATGGCAAAAAGAACAAATAGAACAAATGGTCCAGTATGAATCTGTCTCAATTGTTTCCAATTACAGAAACACTTCTTGCTAACAAAATTGACCTATTTATAGTACTTTTCTTTCTTTTTGGCCCTTTGTCTTAGAAGTCTTGGCATATTTATTTCACACGCTAAATTTTGATGGAAAGTTTGACAAGAAAGTTTGTTCTATATTTTTCTTAGATGATATAACTAATAAGCCAATGTAAATTTTTTAACTTGGTCAATGGGGAGTTTAGTAAGATTAGAAACTTCAAAATATGGGGTTTCTTTATAAATCAAAATTCTGAGTGGAGTTGTTTACAATTAGGATAAGTTGTAAGGGATGCATGTGAAATTGTTTTAGTAGAAAGAAAGGCAGAATACTAATAAATAAACGGATAGTACATTGCAAGCCCTTATAAGTAAAATGTTCTTGGCATAATATGCCAAAATATGTTGTCATGAAAGGTACTAACACACTAATTAGAACTTGCAATATTTTATAACAAACTATTTAATATATGCTTATTGCATGTGACGTTTTAACCAACCAAATACTTAAAAATAATTACTTTTAACTCAGGATAGAGCAATTAATTGAAAATGTTTTATTCTCATATGAGATGTGATTTGATCCCTTATTTTATTCTTGTTGGAATCATTTCACTTGGAAGATTCTCTTCTCTTTCCTAAATCTTGGTCTAAGTTGGGTGTTTATCAGATGATTTGTCATTCATGAATAAACAAATGACATTATATATACGCACATATTTTACTTTTGGTCATTGTAGGCTTTTAAGCTATCTATGTAATTAGATGGAGTTGAGACGTTTCGATTGGACAATCTTAAATTGGATGGGTCTTTTTACCTGTCTCGAATCTTAAAAAACATTAATCAGTCTTTGCCTAGTTATAAGAACTTATTGAGTAAAAAATAATCATCAAGTCTCTTTACCCACCCTCTAAAATAATTTCCCCCGCCCCAAACCAAGGAATAAAAAAATAAAAAATATATGAATAAAAAGGAAGAAGGCAAGGCACCTAATGTTATTAATGTGTTTGACCAATTTTATTTGGTTTTTCGTCCGATGTTTGGTATCCATATTGAAGTTCGATTTAATTGGGATTCGCGTGAGAAGTCTCACACTTCGAGGTATAGTGCCCTCTAACAAAGGCGATGTCATACTTAGGGCTCAAACACAAAATATTTGTTAAGAATGAATAAGTGTTTATCACTTCACCACAATGTTGTTGGTGTATTTGGCCAACTTAGTGACACTATAATTTGATTGTCAGCGTATATCCTATCTTTCCTTTCAATAATTTTAGGTAGGTCAAATAAGCAAAAAGGCACTAGTTCAAAGATTTGAAATGAGAAGTATTCTTAAATTTTTCTTTCTTTTTCCCTAAGCTTTCAAAGTGAAGGGTCAATTACTCCAACAGAGAACCTTCATAGATAAACTAGGCTAAATTCTTGGATCTTAATAATTTATTCAAACACCAAACATAATGATATCTCCATAATGTTCTTGGATATCTTTTGACTGGTTTTGAATTGTGATCGAGATGTTGAACCTACTTGTATGTGTAAGCAATTACTATAAAAAAGAGAATACTTCTCTTTTTGTCAAAGAAACACAAAAATGAAAAAATGTATGTACAACATAAAACCATGTTGTCTTTACTGTAGATTCGCTCAAGGATTAGTCATTTGGAGAGATTTTATAAGAATATTTAGTTGGGAGAAGAAGGGATCGAAAACTAGAGAGGGATTCTTCTTCACTTTTGCTCACATTCAAAGAATAACCAACTGAAAAAAAAATCATTCTAAACTTTGTGTTTAGGAAAAGAAAATAATGTTGAACTGCAGTAGAAAATACTACACGTTTCTAATTTATGTATGTATCATTATGTTTATGCTTATCGTGACATATTATTACTTTAACTCCAAATTTTTGGTAATTATAAGAATAAAACTATGTATTCAAAGGGTAGAAAGAATTGTTATAGTTAAAAAGGGGCAGTTGGCCTGCATTTATATTAATCGCATAATGCTTATTTTGAGTGTATGCGAGGAGTTCTGATCTCAAGTTAACTAAGAAGTGTCCTCATCCTTTAAATTATTGGGGGTCTACAAAACAATATCAATGCTATATAACTCAAAATTTGCTGTCAAAAACCAAAACTACATTGAAACATCAATTACTTTGGTTGTATCACCGAAGTAGACGCCACGTTGAATGGCGGGTCACTACTAGAAAATGACTAAATTCTAACCGTCAAAACGGAAAATTGAGCTTTTCCGACTAAAAATGATCTGTCACAATCCGAAATCCCAACGTTGAGATCATGATGGCGCCTAACATCCACTTGCTAGGCAAGCCGACGTGAAACAGATAAATTAACCGATTTTGATAGTTGAAAACCAAATATTAACTATGATAACAATGTAAGTCTGAAGTAGAGTAAAATAATACCGAACTATGAAATCTAAACATATCCCAGAACCTAGAGTCACGAATACATGAGCATCTAGAGTGCTACAAATAAGGTCTGATCAAAATACAACTGTTTTGAAATTCAATAAAACAATAAAGATAGTTGGAAAGGGGACTTCAAGGCTGAGAACATTGTAAAGTTATACCTCAAGTTTCCGACTGAATCCGAGCAAAAAGCTATTGAGCGCGCTAGGACCAATACCAGTATCTGCACAAGAAGTGCAGAAGTGTAGTATGAGTACAACCGACCCAATGTACTCCGTAAGTGTCGAGCCTAACCCCGACAAGGTAGTGACGAGGCTATGACAAGACACCTACGTAAATAAACATGTACAAGTGTATATAAAGCAGCAATAATAATAGAGAATGATAACGTACAAATTGGGAGGGGACATGCGAAAAGAGAAAGATATAACAACTACCACGGGTATGAAACCGCGAAATAACCAAACAAATCACCAAAATTGGGAAAATCAGTCAAACCAAAGATATGAAAATGGCACGGCATCACCCTTCGTGCTTTTACTCTCGTCCTCACCATGCAATAATATGAATATAATGGCACGGCATCACCCTTCGTTCTTTTACTCTCTTCCTCACCATATAATAATGATAATATGAATTCGGCTAATAAACAATGCTGAGAATAAATTTAACTTCAAATATGGTGCCATGATATCAAACTTCGACTTCTAAAAATATTCAACAACTTCAAAATAAGCAATAATTACGACACGAATAATCAAAGAAGTAATAATCTAACCTAAGCATGGATATCATAATTAACGAAATAATAAAATACAAAGAAACAAGTTCCACCCGCATGCTTTAACCCAATGATAACGCATAAGTACTCGTTACCTCACATATACGTTGTCCCCACACATAAAATACGTAGCAAGTAGACTAACAAGTTTTAATCCCTCAAGTCAATGTTAACCACGACACTTACCTTACTCCGCAACTAAATCAATGCTCAACCGCAGTTTTTCCTCCAGAAATAGCCTCCAAACCAATAAAATCTAACCAAATATAATTTAAATAATTTACAATAAGCTTTAAAACTACCCACGTGTGGAAAAGATTCAATCTTTAATATTTTTGGAAAAAGTCAACTAAAGTCAACCACGGGCTTGCTTGGTCAAAACCTGAGATTCGGACCAAAATCTGATTATCCATTCACCCTCGAGCCCGGTTATGTGATTAGTTTCGAAATCCGACCTCAATTTGAAGTCTAAATCTCAATTTTTTAAAATCCTCAATTTCTACCTAAATCCCTAGTTTCTACCATGAAAAAGTATAGATTAAAGGTTAAAATCAATGGGTGTTTATGAAAATGTAAGAAAACGGGTTAGAATCTACTAACCTATGAAGTTGGGATGGAAAACCTCTTGAAAATCGCCTCGAGGCCGAGCTCAAACTTGAAAATGGTGAAAAATGGGATGATTCCCGATTTTGGGACCTTTTAATCACCGAGCGTCGAACCTTTTTCGCGTTCGAAAAGGGCCTGACGCATTCGCGAAGAACATCGTCCCTAATGGCCTTCGTGTTCGCGAGATGTTGCACGCATTCGCGATGGCCTGTCCCCCCGGCCTTCGCGTTCGCGAGCCTGGGCTCGCGTTCGCGTATAACAACTCTTGCCTCCCCCAGATCACTTAACCCATCGCGTTCGCGAGTGAAGAGTCGCGTTCGCGAAGGGTAATCCCTCTGATAATTTGCGTCCGCGACCGCTTATCCGCGTTCGCGTAGAAGAAAACCACCACAGCCCCAAGTTCCCCTTCGTGGTCGCGAAGCACAAAACATTAGACATCAGCAACAACTGAACCAGCAGATCCTCTAAGTTCAAAATTAATTCGTTGCTTATCCGAAACTCACCCGAGCCCCTCGGGCTCCAAACCAAACATGCACACAAGTGAATAATATCATACGAACTCACTCGTGCGATCAAAACACCAAACTAACAACTAGAATTACGAATCGGACATCAAAATGCATGAAATTTTCAAAGAAACTCAA